CTCTCTCTTTCTTTTTAGAGAGGGAGAGAGGGAGAGAGTAGGACACAAGGAATCCCAACCAGGCTCCACGCCTAGTGCAGAGCCCCATACAGGGCTCAATCTCACACCTTGCGATCATGACCTGAGCTGAAATCAAAGGTCAGACACTTAACTACCCAGGCACCCCTAGTTTGCTTCTTTATAAAATAAGGGATTTGGACTAGAGTAGTAAGGTTCCTTCTAACCCCCAAATTAATTTTGTTTTAGATTTTATTCGAGAGCAAGAGAGAGAGAGAGAGTGCAAGCGAGCATGAGCGGCAGAAGGAGAGGGAGAAGCAGACTCGCCCACTGAGCAGGGAGCCCAATACAGGGCTCAATCTCAGGACCCTGGGATCATGACCTGAGCAGAAGGCAGACGCTTAACCGACTGAGCCACCCAGGCGCCCCTTATTTTTTTTTTAAAGATTTATTTGTTTGAGAGAGGACAAGAGCATGAGTGGGGGGGGCAAAGGGAGAAGGAGAGGGAGAGAGAATCTCAAGCAGACTCTGCAATGAGTGTGGAGCTTAATATGGGACTTGATCTCATGACCCTGAGATCACGACCTGAGCCGAAACCAAGAGTCTGATGCTTAATGGACTGTGCCACCCAGGTGCCCCAAATTAAGTTATCTGTAAGTAACCATTTATTAAATCACTGCTATGTGTCAAGAACCATATTAATGACTTCAATAACCTGTAGAAATTAGTGAACTTAGAGAAAGTATTTTAGGATAAATAATCCCTATCCAGCCTCATTCTTTAAATGCATGAAGAGATATGAGATGGAGTTTAATATGTGCTGCCTTAAAAAAATAAGTAAAATCCTTCTTCCAAATCAGACTATAAATTCTCCAACTAAACTAGGTGACATCAAGCAAATCAAACATTCTCTCTGAATCTCCATTTATAACATGGGACCACCAACAACAACTCTAGTTTTTGTGAGGAATAAAGATAACACACACATGCAAAAAGTTGAAAGCTTCCCCTTTGATGTCAGAAATAAGACAAGGATGCTCTATCACTGATTCAAAAACTAGAAATAAAAAGAGCAATAAAATCAGCTACAATAAAGTTACAAAGCTAAGATATTTGCAAACACATAACTGAAAAAAGACTAGGATCCTCTATGTGTGTGTATGTGCATGCAAAGATTGATACAAATGAATGAGGAAAAGGTAAGCAATCCAATTGAAAGATAGACAAAAGATCTGAACCAGAACTCCAAAAGAGGAAATCCAAACAGGAAATAAACATACGAAAAAGGCCTTGGTCTCATTAGTAATCAAGGAAACTGACATTAAAAATATAATGGGTTCTCAGCACATACTCACCAGACTACAAATAGTAAAATCTTTGACAATACTACACAGTGTAAAGAATGTGGCCTGACCGGAATACATTTGGTATACAATTTGGAAAACAGTTTAACCTTATCTAGTCAAGTTCAAGATACATGTAGATTATGACCCAACAAATGCACTCATAAGTATATCTTAAAGAAAAGCATGCTTAGATGTATGTACAGAAGTGTTCACAGCAGCACTGTTTATAACGGCTAAAGCCTGGATATAATCCAAATGTTATTAACAGTCGAATGGATAATAAGGAAGAGACATACAATAGAATACTACAAAACAATTAACTGAATAAACTATAACTAAATACAATATGATAGACTGATGCTTATAAATAAAATATTGACTAAAAAAAGCAAAATACAAAAGAGTATGTGTGGTATCATTTCATTCATATGTTAAAAAATAGAAAGAAGTAAACCACACTGTTTAGAAATACATGCAGAGAAGGTAAAACCACTTCTAAAACGCAAAGAAATTCTTATCTCTGGGGAGAAGGGAAGTGATTTTTTTACTGGGAATGGTATTTGGAGGGGGGCAGCTTCTGGGGTGTTGGCCATGATCTATTTCCTGACTTAGATAGTGAATACATGGGTGGTCACCCAAACATACTTTGTATATGTACAACTGTACACATAAGTTGTACATCTGTAAGTTTCTGGCACATAGGAGATATATGGCACACTGTATATACCACAGGAGATAGTTAATAAAGACACTATTACTTTATAATGATGATCTTATTCTGACTACTATTGCTACTACCTTCACTGATATTACTACTAATTTCTTGTCTGCAGATTACATATGCCCCCTTAAAATACCAGCTCAGAGAGAATATAAAGAAAAATGCCTGTATATAAAAATGTCTACATGCCTATAAAGCTTCTTTATTTGTGCTATTTTCCCTTGTTTCCCCACTGTTACACTTCTAAATGTTTCTTCCTTCTTATATACTCTGCACTATCTTGATAGACCACAAAATTCTGATAGGAACTAAAGTTTTTCCCTCTACATGATTATTCTTACAGCAAGGATCCCACCATTAGCAGCAGGAGTCCTAAACCTTTGCAGGTTGAGTAAGAATAACAGATGATAGGTAAACTGATTTTAATAGAACCTAACTATCGAAAGGAAATGGTATAGGAACCATACTAGATTCTCACTAACACACCTTGAACTGCTCTTCTCAAGCTCCCAACCCAGAGACTCAGTTGTCAGGTAACTGCTGTAAGTCCTTTGCCATAAAAGGCAAGTATTTACACGCAAGGCTGTGAAACATACACAACACTACATCAAGATGCTCACTATATTTCAGTGGTAAGGTTTTTACTTAAGAGAGAAAATAAATATATGATGTTTGAAAAGTGGTTATATCTTAAGTACAAAAAAACTCTTTGATATTTCCAATTTTTGGCAATAAAAGATAACATCTACTAGTGATTTTAAAATTCCTTTATAATACAACCGGAAATCGTAAGAAATTTCACTTAAAGTTTACTGATGCATGTTGGGACACCTGAGTGGCTCAGTCAGTTAAGTGTCTGACTCTTGGTTTCAGCTCAGAACATGATCTCAGGGCTGTGAGATAGAGCCACACCTCAGGCTCTGCACTCAGCACGGAGTCGGCTTATGATTCTCTTCTCCCTCTGCCCCTCCCCCCTGTGCGCACACGCGCGTGTGCTCGCTCTCTCTAAATCTTTAAAAAAAACAAAAAAAAGGGGGTGCCTGGGTGGCTCAGTCGTTAAGCGTCTGCCTTCAGCTCTGGTCATGATCCCAGGGTTCTGGGATCGAGCCCTGCATCTGGCTCCCTGCTCAGCAGGAAGCCTGCTTCTCCCTCTCCCACTCTTCCTGCTTGTGTTTCCTCCCTGGCTGTGTTTCTCTCTGTCTAATAAATAAATAAAATCTTTAAAAAAATTTAAATTAAATAAAAATTTTAAAAAAATTAAAAAACAAAAAAAAGCTTATTGATGCATGCTAAAGAGAAAAGTTACCAGTGGAGAATTAAAACTAAGTAACCAGGTTATAAATACCAACTTAATCACTCCTTTGAAAATATGTAGTATTTAACATCTAAATTTAATCTGGTGAAAGGTAAGAATTTCATTCAGTAAAATATCATTAAAGTGATATTTCAAAGAAATTAATTTTAACTGAAAATCAGCATTTCAAAAAATATTTCAAAGAATTCTACTTAGCAAAGGTCTTACAGTCTTAGCATTTGCAGTTTACTAATTGTTCTTCATGACCTTGGAATCAAGACACTATGAGATAAAAAACACCAATGAATCAATGTACATGTATTTATCCTAAACATCTACTACAAATAAGAAACTGTTAGAAATACAAAGAAACACAGACTTGGTCCCCACCTGACTGATGCATAATTTCAGGAAACACAATACCTATGCCATCTGTGTTAGATAAGAAAATTTATCTAAAAATACAATTAAACAATAATATAAAGTAGGAAGTAATAATATCAAATGTACAGCAATGTCACCAGAATTTTGAGGAAGGAAAAAAGTGTTATCTAGTTGAGATATTAGAGGGGCTTCATGGAAAAGGCAGAATGAGTAAGCTTTAGGTAAGAGGTGGGGAAAGGAAAGGACATTCTTACAACTCTTTGAAGGTAAAGACTGCTTTAATAAATGACAGAGAAAGAATCAGTATGTACCTGCACTGTACACTTGAAATGGATGTACCTTGTATATGTAATTTATGCCTTGATTAGGTCAATTTTTAAAATATCAACAAGTATCAAGGATGTTCCCTTTACTGACAATTCCTTTACCATGCTTCCATACTTTCATGATCAAATACATTCAAAGCCAAGCTGCCATAATTATTCACCCAGTGCCTTTTAAAAAGCTAATGTTCTCTCTCCCTCTAGTTTGCCTAAGCACATCTATCTTGCATATCACTGCCAAAATAATCTTCCAAAAGAACCTTTCTGAATTAGGTCTATCTCTACAAAACTTGGAATGTTACCCACAGCCTTTCCTCCAAAAAACAATCAACATGGACTTTAAGGTCCTCTACAATTTGAGCTCAATCTACCATGCTGGTCTTATTTTGCACTACTCTCTATACATAGATATACATCTTTCTTCAAATATTTTTTCTATACATAGATATTTTTTCTATAGAGATACTACTTTTCTAAATATACTTTGTCTATTTTCACTTTCTATACCTATCCTCAAGGTATTCTCTCCAAATGATATACTCTTGCCTTCCACCTTAATCCTACCTACCACTCAAAATCTACTTCAAATGTTTACCTTTAAGCATCAACTCTTTTCTGAAGGCCCCTTCAGGTATGATCTCTTCAAACTTTCACTGAAATCTGTGCATGAAAACTAAAAACATTTTTCTTTATGTCATTAATAAGAGAATACTAGTCCTTGAGGAGTTCACATGATCTGTACCCACAGATATGTAACTGACTAAAAATTATATAGGACAATATAGAAGGACATGCTTAGCACATATATTCATTCAAAAATTACTTAATGAAAGAATTATTATTCACATATTGTAAATATCCTAAAAAACAATCATATGTAAGACTACAAAAATAAGATGGTAATCTTAATGGATTTTAAAAAAAGTGAATTTTACCTTTTCAGTTGTAAGAGGTTTTGCAGGCTTTTCTGGCTCCTTTTCTTTCTTTTTCTCTTCCTTTTTTTTTTCCTTTTCTTTCTAAAACATAGACCATAGTTTTGATCAATTTACTTTGTAAAAAATGTCAGCTCTTAACACATTTTTATTTTACTAGTTTGAGTCATTGTTTGAAGAAGTGTTCAGTGATGACAATATCCAGTGATACTGAAATATAAAAGAAAACACAGCAAATTCATATGGTCATTGAAATTACATGTTGATAACACAACAAAGAATATCTTTGCTTTAAAAAATTTGAGACAGGTGAAACTATTTAGAACTTCTTTGAAATTTTAGAGTTCGTTTTAAACAAATGAGACCTCTACTCAATAAATGCTCACTGTATCTTTACATCAGGTTAGGCTTCCTAATAGCAACCATCATGTTTAAATTTGAACAAGAAGAAAAAGTAAACTAACTGCTAAAAGAGAGTTCCTTATCACACAAATGAAGACAGATTACAACATGTGAACATGAGGCAAAAAGGGAAAAAAATGCTTTAATTTTTTAAAATATCACAAAACATGGGGGCACCTGGGTGGCTCAGATGGTTAAGTATCAATTCTTGATTTCAGCTCAGGTCATGATATCATGGGTCATATGATCAAGCCCCATGCTCAGCGGGAAGTCTGCTTGAATATTCTCTCCCTCTGCCTCTCCCCCCACTCGCATGCTCTCCCTCTCTTTCTCTCTAATAAATAATCTCTAAAATATCACAAAACATGCTTAGTCCACTACATAATGTTGTGATTTCTAAAAGGACAAGTACAATAATTTTCTCATTAAAAAAAATGTTAAGGATATGCCTGGTACCAGAGCAAACTGATTAGTGTATTTAATCCAACTCAATCTAGGTAAACTAAAATGGTACTATGATGACTACAATTTGCATTTCCAAGAAGGATAAAACAGGATATAATATTAAAAACTTAAGGGTCACAAACATGCCAAAAAAGGAAAATGAAATAAAAGATTAAACCATGAGCATTTGTAAGACATTTAAAGGTAAGAGATGCCTAGAAACCTAGAAGTGAATCACTACTACAAATGAGTATTAATTAGTACCTTAGTTTCCTAGCAGCAAATGGGAAAAGATAAACTGATGAACCTAGGAAAGGCAGAATAATAAACACACAAAACTCAGTCAAAATGCCTACTGGTTTGTTTGTACCTGTGTCTTTAAAATGGTATTTGCCACAACCTTTCAACAGTATAATTTTTATTATTTATAATTGAGAAAAGATAACACTGGCAATTCCTAGGCTATAACATAAGGCATATAATAAAAGTTCCTATGGGCCAGATACTGTGGTAATCACCTTATTTTCTAATTTAACTTATGCAATAAGTGTCTGAAAAAAATGTCATCGTGGTTGTTTTACAAATGAAGAAAAAAAATAGGAAAGTAAGGCAGAAAGCCACACAACTAAATCAGTGGGAGGAGTGAGGGAAGACAGAGCCAAACTCCGAAGTGCAGCACTGGTATTTATTACTATTCTTTCAAACCACAATGGTTAATATTTATTGAACCCTTACTATGTGCAAGATACCGTCTTCACTTATTGAATCCTTACAACATCTTTATAAGTAACCTTATCCCATTTACTAAGTGAAGCATAAATGAGATATGCACCTCTACCTCTGAAACCAATAATAGTTACATGTTAATTAAACTTAAATAAAACCAAATTAATTAAAAAAATAAAGCCAAAGTTAATATAAAAAATGAGATATACACAAATCTTTTATCCATTATGAAATGTTTTCTAGATGTTATTAATCAAATTTGATGAAGAAAGCAATGTGATTAAATATTTTCACTAATATGTTGGGGACGAATTGTTCTATACCCTCACAGAACTGTTAATTTCTCAAGGAAGGCACTGTCATGAGAGTGGGGAAGAATGCTTGTCTTTCTAATCACTGTAACTGGTAGGCACATATGACATCACGAAAAATGAAACAGATTATACAGCCAGATTTAATAAAGAGAGAGTACAACTCAGTGCTCTTCAACACTGGAATTTCAGCTGCTAAAATATGGCTGTCATCTAAACTGGTTTCAGCAGAGGTATTATGACACAAGCTTTGAAGTAACATTAAAAACATGGGCTCTGAATTCAGGTCATACAGTTTGATCCACAGATGATTCCCATCTCTAGAATCAAAAGCTGCTGAAAGATCAGAGTACTGTGAGAACCTAATTTGTTTTAAACTATTTTCTTAGCAAGAACAAAATATAGCTGTGTTTGGTATTGTAAAATAGTTCCTGAAACTTGGTTGCTATATATACAAATGATATAGTGAAAAAGACCTTCTATGTAAAAAAAAAAACAAAACAACAACAACAACAACAAAAACAAAACTGGAATAAACGTCCAATTTCTATAAGATAGAGAAAAGCATGTACTGGGTTCATTATACTCAAACTATACTTGAATGATGTGATTAAAGATATAGTCTTCAAAAAATTTTTATTATGTACTCCTACTTTAAAAAGTTGTGAGCATATATACTCTACCATGCATATATACTTCTTTATAAAGTATATACAACACTATATTAGTACATTATAAAATATATATAAAAATACAAATTTTGAAAGGATAACAAAAAAAAAGCACAAATAGACATCATAAATGAACTACCTTGGGGTTCTCTCTGACATTTAACGCTACAGACATCAGACTCTGGAGACCACTGAATTAGACAATGCCTTTCTTTTAAAAACTGAAGTATAATTTACATATAACATATTAATCTCAGGTGTACAAAATGATTCAATATTCATATAACACTGCAAAATGATCACCATCATAGGTCTAGTTTCCTCCTGTCACCAAATAAAGTTACATAAGTGAAATACAGTACTGTTGCTCTAGTCACCATGCTATACATTACTATCCCATAACCAATAAGACCAATAGCAGGGAGTTTACTGACTATGTTTTCTTCTAGTAGTTCTATGAGTTCAAATCTTGCATTCAAGTCTTTAACCCATACTGAGTTAATTTTTGTATACAGAATAAGATACTGGTCCAGTTTTCCCAAACCATTTATTGAAGAGACTGTCCTTTCTCCACTGTATATTCTTGCCTCCTCTGGCATAAATTAACTGACCATATATATGTGGGTTTATTTCTGTCCTCTCTATTCTGTTGCAGTAATTTATGTATGTTTTTATGCCAATACCATACTGTTTTGATTACCATACCTTTGAAATCAAGGAAAGTGATGCCTTCATCTTTCTTCTTCTTTCTCAACATCACTTTGGCTATTCAGGATCTTTTGTGGTTCCATACAAATTTTAGAAACGTTTGTTCTATTTCTGAGAAAAATGCGATTGGGATTTTGATAAGGATGGCACTGGATCTATAAACTGCTTTGGGTAATACATTTTAACAATATTAATTCTTCCAATCAATGAACATATAATAATTTCCATTTACTTGTGTCTTGTTTCATTCATCAGTATCTTGAACTTTCCAGTGTAGCAGTCTTCCACCTCCTTGGTTAAATTTCTTCCTAGGTTTTTATTCTTTTTGATGTGATTGTAAATAAGATTGTTTTCTTAATGTCTCTAACCATTTGTTGCTAGTGTAGAGAAAGAACAGATTTTTGTATATTGATTTTGCATCCTGCAACTTTACTGAAGTTCTTAGTTCTCACAGCTTTTTGGTGGAGTTTTTAGGGTCTTCTATATATAAAATCATGTTGTCCACAAATAATAACGATTTTACTTCTTCCTAACTTGGAAGCATGTTTTTCTTTTTCTTGCCTAACTTGTCCAGCCAGAACTTCTAATACTATGCTGAATAGAAGTGGTAAGAGTGGGCATCCTTGTCTTGTTCCTGATCTTAGAGGAAAAGCTTTTAGCTTTTCATTGTTGAGTATGATGTTAGCTGTGGGGCTTGTCATAAATGGTCTTTATTATGTTGAAGAACATTTCCTTCATTCTTGCTTTGATGAGAGTTTTTATCATAAATGGATTTTGAATTTTGTCAAATGCTTTTTCTGCATCTGTTGAGATGATCGTGATTTTTATCCTTAATTTGTTAATACTGTAGATCATGCTGACTGATTTGCAAATGTTTAACCATCCTCACATCCTTTCAATAAATCCCATTTGGTCACAGCGTATGATCTTTTTAATGCATTGCTGAATTCAGTTGGCTAACAGTTTGTTGAGGATCTTTTCATCTATATTCATCAGGGATATTGGCCTGTAGTTTTCTTTTTATTGTGGTGTGCTTGTCTGGTTTTAGTGTCAGGATAATGCTGGCCTCGTAAAATTAATTGGGAAGCATTCTCTCCTCTTCAGTGTTTTGGAAGAGTTTGAGGTACAATTCACCAATGAAGCCATCTGGTCCTGGACTTTTGTTGGTTGGGAGGTTTTTGACTACTGATTCAAACTCCTTGCTAGTAAATGATCTATTCAGATTTTCTATTTCTTCATGATTCAGTCTTGGCAGATTGTATATTTCTAAGAATTTATCCATTTCTTTTAGACCCTCCAATCTGTTGGCGTATAATTGTTCATAGTAGTCTCTTATAATCTGTTGTATTTCTGTGGTGTCAGTCATTACTTCCCTTTTTTCATTTCTGATTTTATTTAAGCCCTTTCTCTTTTTTTTCTTGATGAGTCTGGCTAAAGGCTTATCACTTTCATTTATCTTTTCAAAGAATCGGCTCTCAGTTTCATTGATCTTTTCTATTTTCTTTTAGTCTCTATTCCCTTTATTCCACTCTATTATTTCGTTCCTTTTACTAATTCTGAGCTTCATTTGTTCCTCTTTTCCTAGTTCCTCTGGGTATAAAGTTAGACTGTTATTTGCGATTTTTCTTATTTCTTGAGGTAGGCCTGTATCACTATCAACTTCCCTTTTAGAACTGCTTTTCCTAAATCCCACAGATTTTGCTATGCTTTATTTTCATTTGTCTCAAGGTATTTTTTAATTTCTCTTTTGATTTCTTCATTGACCCATTAACTGTTCGTAGTGTGTTGTTTAATTTCCATATTATTTATGCTTTTTCCAGTT